TGCGAAAAACCTGCAATCGTCAGCCTTTTATTCTCAGCAGTTCAATTGATGATTAGTAAATAAATCCCCTATATATCTAATTTGTTATAACATAGCCTATTATTTGTGGTATTAAAAAGTCTCTAATTAAATCTAAATTGCTGGCAAATGTTTACATTCGCTTCATTTAGATAAGAAAAGCGGAACTGAATTTGAAATAAAGCGATAAAATGCGTACTTTATAGATAAATTCGTATTGTTCGCGTGTCTGAACGGCACTGGCACGACCTCTTCGAACGAAGTAGACGATTTGCGGTACGTCAACATTTCGTGTGGGTTGCTCAAGTGATCTAATTGCAATATCACATGCGACGATTGTTCCCGTACGACCAGTTCCCGGCGAGCAATGCACTGTCAATGGCCTGAAATTGAATGGAAAATATCGATTGAGCAAAAATTGCAGATTAAATGTTTGAAATAAAACAAAATTTGCTTAAAAAAATCAAATTTTGATCTATTCACCCAGAAAAGGACCTCAAAAAATGGTTAGAAATTTACATTTTTTTTCTTTTCGTCTTTTTGTCTTTTTGAAATACCAAACTCACCCTTGAACTCTCTGCAGTGATTTGCTTTTATCCAGATTGCCGTTGCTCATTTTGCCATCGAGATCACTTTCGGCTTGTCCGTTTTCGTCGCTTTGTTCGGGTGTGACCATTTTCAAGAAGCTTCGTGCTTCCAACAGCATCGCAATCACGCTGGCCTCATCGGTTGGCACACCATTCTCCGGCCATTGATACCAGAAATGGGTAATTTCTCGCCATGTTTTGGTGCATGCATTCTTCAAGTGAACGGTCGAAACAGCGTATTTATCACGAACATCGCGGTTTTTCAGCGTTATTTGATAGTCACCGAATGTGACGTGATTGTCGATCACAAACGACGATGGGAGGTATTCGGCGCATTTTTCGATTCCATTTTCAGTTAAATCCGTGGCCATGATAATAACGCGAGAATTTTGCTCCCAAATCATTCGCCAGAAATCAGTGATGGTGTGCTCGAGCGGAGCTTGACAGGCAATGTAATAATGGGTAGTGTCTTTTGGCCCCTTTACAAAGTTTGCATTGATGTATTCCGTCTTCTCGTCATCATCTTGCCGCTTCAGATGCACCCGACTCTCAGGCAATGGCACCACATTTGCGTATCTGAATGGGAATGAACAAGAAAAATTTGCATTGATTTTTTATGAAGAAAATTTTAAAAAAGAAATTGCACAAAAATCTGTTGGCTAGCAAACAAACTTCATTTCAATTCCAAAAACCGCGTACCTGTTTTTATCCTCGCAACCGATTGGAACTTCTTCAATGCGTGCTGTGACCGTTGGAACCTCTTTAAACTCTTCGTTGATGGAGACGCGCTTTTGTGAGAACGTTGCCAACTGTGAAATGTTCAGCGGATTATTCTTTAATCCTGGATCGTCGAAACCGGCATTTCCAAAGGCTCTCTTCGATGATCGCATGGCGCTCTTTCGTCTCACGCTGTTATAAACCGAAATATTATCCAAACTGTATGCGTCTAGTCCAATTGGACGGCATCGTTGACCGTAGGTCAATTGCTTTTGACGTTTTCGCATAACAACCAAAAATCCAACGAGTAAAATCAGCGTGACTACCGCCACCACACTGATACCAATGGCGATCATTGCATTCACATCGGTTGGTTCGCCAACTTGTCCTTGATTCACTTCTGTTTGGTGCTCTGGTGGTGAAGTTGCATCCGGTGATTTTCGAACGCCTGGTACACTTGTGGTTGCGAAGCTAATGATTCGCGGTGTGATTGGCGATGGAGTCTCGGTCGACACATTCACTTGAAGAACGTTGGTGGAAATTGTCTGAGGAACACTCTTTTGAGTCGTTGAAAATGAACTGCGAGTCGTCGAAGACGAGCTATGAGTTGGCTCGCTCTCGTTCGTCGGCAAAATGATTCGTTGATTTGTTTCGGTTGTGGTGGTTTTTGTTGCGATTGGTTTCGTTGGATGGGTCGAAGGCTTCGTCACCGCTTGTGTCGTCGAATCAGTTTCATTATTCAACACAGGCATCGTATTCAAAGTCGACTCAGTTGTTTTCACCGAAGTTTCTTTTGGAGTAACTTCTTGTACCGGCTCACGGTGCACTTTATTCTCCTCGTCTTTCGGTGTAGTCACGAAAATTGTCGTTGGAATTTCCGTCGTTTCAGTCGTCGGTACGGTTGTTGTTGTTTCAACCACAAAATTTTCCTTAGTTTTTGCTGGCCGCACTTTCGGAATGTGGCTCAATGTTGTGACTTCATGTTCATCGGAAATCGTCGTTCCGTCGTCGATCGTTGTGGCTTCTTCCTCTTCGGTCGTCGTGTAAATGTCTTTTTCAGTAGCTTTTTCGGTCGCCTTTTCCGTCAATTCTTCGGTACTTTCTTCATTTTTAACAGGTTCTGTTGGTTTTGAATCGACTGTTGTGGCTAATTCGAATGCTTTCGTAGTTTCAGCGTTCGATTTTATGTGTACATTGGTCGTGTTTGCGATTTCTTCATTCGATTTAATGCGTTCATTGCCTGGCTTTGGATTTAATCTTGTGTTTTCAGTGGTTGTGTTGGGCGCTTTTGTTCTCAAACTTCCTCTGCTTGGAATTTCTGTCTTTGAATTGTCTGCTTCTACTTCTTCTTTCTTGTCGTCTTCATCTTTGCTTACTACCTTTCGATCAACGTCACTCAAAGCCGTCGGTTTAGTGGGTTGATTTCTTGAATTAATAGGAACCGTTGGTCGATTCGAAGACGATTGAAATGAGCTCAGCGAGTTATCATCGGGAACATCAACAATTTGACTTGAATTTGACTTTTGCAATTGTGTTTCATGTTCATCAACACTTTTTTCCGTCGATGAAGTTTCTACCGAGGCTTTCTCTGCCACTTCTTCGCTGTCAAGTTTTCCATTAACTGATTTGATTGACTCGTCTTGAGCCAAAGATTTGCCTAACGTCACATTGTTATGGTGCACCTCACCAACGGTCTTCAGATCCGACCACGATGCCTCTGGATTATTAGCCGAAGACGGCGACGACGAATCGACCTTCTCGCTCAGATACTTTGCACGTTTCTCAGCTACCTCAGGTGGAATTGAGGAGATGCGCGCTCGAATCGTCTCGGTGGCAGAAATTTTTGGCGCCAACGGAATGGTCGAAAGAATCGAAGCGGTCGAACGACTCACGGGAACGGTGCTGATTTCCACATCAGCCACAGCACGTTCAGTTGATCGCGCAAATGTTGTGTCGACTCTCTTTGGCTTCTCGGACGGATCCGATGATGGAATACGCGATATTGGCACCATTGCATGCGCCTCTTTACTCTCATCGGCTCGCGTCGCTTCTTTCAGTGAAACGGTTGATATTCTTGCAGCCGATTTTGTATTTGACGCTGACTTATCGCTAGGTTTTGATGGCAATCTGAGGAAGAAAAAGAGAAATTGTTGAATTTTTTAAGCTTTATTTGGAAATGATTTTCCAGACCACTCACCTATTTTCTACGGAATCATCTTGACTAAAATCTTTGGTAAAACTGGTTTGTGAATTGGCGATTGCCTCGTTGTTTGCCGTTTGATTGATATGGCCGGTGAAATTTTGCTCGATGCCATTATTTACATCGGTTGTGCTGCTCACTTTTGACTCTTGAACCTCATTCACATTGTTATTTTCTTCGTTGTTTATCACATCTTTTGCATTATGATCGCTATCGACATCACCGTCGGGAAAAACCGGCACTTCTGGAATGGCGACAGTTTCGTTTCCATTCGATAAATTTGTGTCATCAAATGAAGCGGCACTTTCAATGATGTCGTGTCTCTTCTGAATTACATGGCCTTGTACCAACGATGCCAGCAGAATTAGTGCGAAAAATGCGAACGGTTGAATTGCGCTCATTGATCTCGTGAAAAATCGACCCATTTTCTCGTTTTGCAAATGGTTTGGACGTCACGAAAATTCAATCCGTTAGCTGCACTTCGTCCGCAGTTCGATGGAAAACTGGAAATAAGAAGAAAGACAAAATGTATTAAAAAAATGAAAATTAACTAGAAATTCGTTAGGAAAGTGGTTTAAACGATGAAAAAAAATGTTTAAAATGGAGCTTGAATGCGATGTTTCTTCTAAAAAATTGATGAACAAAAAAAGTAGGAAAATTGAAAATATTTGCTCAAGGCCATCGATGCATGAGATATTCTCCCTATCACAATCAGCCGCTGTATTGACGTTACTTGGTCTGGCTCAACGGATTATGAACATTACTTTTTCGATACGTATCGATTGCATTAATTGCCTTTTAATCGCCACTTTCGAATATAGAAACGGTCAATGATCAAATGAGTTTTTCTTGTGAATTGAAATTTTTCCAAAGAAATTTGCGAAATTTAATGAATTTGATGCACTGCGTGAAATCGATTCGAATGAAGTCATTTTGAATTCAAAATTCCCTCATGAAATCGTTACAACAAAGAGAAGTTGACGGAAAGTTCCAGTTCATTGAAGCTGATTCGAGAGAATGCATTATTTGGTATACCAAACATGCATTGTATACATGAAATATTATTTTGTGAACATAGCTATGTTCATTCAAATTAACCAAAAATATATTATTACTAGGTCGAAAGGTCATTTTTTTTTGTCCCAGACAAGGTAGCATACTCGATTTTTGGCGCAGACTGTTTATGAATGTTGACACTTAATTCATTTGAGGGACATAACAATACACATAAATATGTTATAACATAAACTGAAGCTTTTTTCATGTAATTACCATTTTGAATGTTACGTCAACATACAGAGACTCTAAATTAGTCATCAATTTAAATGAAAGTCACAACAACAGATATGAAAATCATTCGAAACAAAACTTGAACTTTTGTCCTTTGAACGATATCTGACGTTTCAAACTAAAACTCTCACTTTCAAGCTTCAGAGTATAATGTTATCGCTGTTTCAGTTTCGACACCCAAAGCAGTTGAACAAAACATTCAGCCATCCGATTTCAATTATTTATCGTTTGAGTATAATTTATTTCGATAAGATTCTATCTTGCACAGCATACTGCCGGTTGGATTCATCTGCATGAGAAAGATAATATTTGCTCATCTAATAGCTTCGATACGTTGCGATGCGTTGATTTGATGCACTTATAACACAACATTCATATTGATCGCGGTGTTCTTTACGAAATTTGTTCAGCTAGGATGGCGATAAGTTGTGCCGACAAGCCGTCGGCAGTATCATCCATGATTAGTTGAACTAACTTATTCCCAAACATACGAAAAATCGTATCGATTTGCGTATTGAATTCAATTCAAAAAGTTCAGAACGTTCACGTCATTTCAAGTCTGATTTTCTGCCAAACATTTCGATTATTCATGAATTTCTCATTAAGAATGCGTTAAAGTAACGCAATTAATTCATCAGAACAAAAATCAGCAGTTCAGCTTTACTCGGTGAAATTCATTCGGCTCCGTTAGCTCTGTTTCAACAGAACGGATATTTCCAAAAACAAAAGGATGCAAAACAAAAGAAAAGCAAACATCAGAAGCAAAAGCAACATCTTTACCGCTAACAGAACACACCTCATTATATCTATATATAAATCTCGATTTTGTTCCGCATTGAGAAAAGCAAATAAGTGTTTAAAAGAAAACTATGAAATACGAGGTTTGCATTTTGCAAAACAAATAATCGTTGGTGTAGGCATTTTCTGTGTTCTATGACTTGTAGACAAAGGAAACAGAAATAGTATTGACTTATTTATGCAAATATCATTCATATTTAGTAATCGACGTTCTGGCAATCAAAATTCTACTAAACATTCTTTTCGTGGATTGTTTTTTCCCCTCGCACAACACGATGCTATTTATGCTAATGATAAATAATGATTCATATCCATTCGAACAAATTTTAATTAAACAAAAATAAGAATTTCGTGAGAATAATGATGGAAGAATGCAATTGTTTCGGACGGTCGAATGATTTCAATGATGTTTTTATTAGTGATTAATCATTAGTTTAGTGGAAAAGTGTTGGAATTGTCTAACTTGTATTTATGAAGTTAACTGACTGCACCTGGGCTCATTCCCAATAGTTTGCTTCAAAGTGTTGCGTCGTTCATTAGGTCGCTCTCTCGCCATTTTCCGTGCTTTCTTGTGTGATTTTACAACGAAATTTATGGTTTTTTCCTCGTGAATTTGAATTAGAGAGTGATTTTTTACAGAAGATCTATTACGATAGAAGAATCAATAATAAAAGTTTGGGTGTCAAAAATTAAAGAAATGTGTTTTACTAGTTGTTTGTCAAAGCTGTTCTGCGGCTCCGGAAAAGAAAGCGAAGAAACCGAACACAATAGCTATGCCGTAGAATCGAAACGACCGTCCATTGCATCTGATAAATTTCAAAGGGTGACAGAAGACAAATGTGAAAATTCAAACTTTTTAAGTGTTGCCAGGTAGAAATGCATGTTTTTTCTCTAAGGCTGCAGAATTTCCGTTGCAAAGTGCTAATTCACCAATAAATTTATTTTTCCAGTGAACCAAAGGCACCGAGAAAAGATCGCAAATCCGTTATTCTAGATGAAGTTTTAATGGCAGCCATGAAAGCAAATCCAACTATCAGTTCAATGCGAAATGCTTGGGGTGGTGTTCCAGAAGATGACATTGATGTCGAAATTGTGAGAAAATGGTTAGACATCGATTTGATTTGAAGTGTTTTGAACAAAAATTCAGAATTTTTGAATGGTTTTCCAACAACAACAAAATTCAAGAAGAACTTTTTTCTACAAGAATTTTCTTTCAAAAGAATATTTTTCACTCTGAATTGTTTACTTTTACAGATTTGTTTGGTCAAGTTTCGAAAAGCCTATTGAACTGAAGCTGAATTTGTCAAAAAGTGACCGAAAACACGATGTTTGCTGATTTTTCTGTGTAATTAAAGATTTAACTTGATAGATTTAGGGTACTATTACTTACTTAGAACAAATAAAATCTTTTAAATTATAATTTGTTTTTAATTCATTGTGAAAATTGCAGTTGTGTCGAAATGTACTTGAAGAAATTCAATTAAAATGTTTTTGATCGATATAGAGAGGCATTCGATCTTTAGTTGAAGTTCAACTGTTGAACAATGCAACGACGAATGAAAAGATTCATATCGCTCGATGTTCTTGTTCATATTCATTCCATTTGTGACCGATTGTTATGTTTTCGATGCAACGTTAAAGTTTTCATCCGACTAAACAATGAATTCAAATGCTAGACTTACGCTATTGTTATCGTTCATTGCCAAAGCTCAACGTTTTATCATAGAATAATAAAGAAAATGATTAAAAGCTATGAATTATGAGTTTATTTTTCAAATCGTTGATTGAGACAATGAGAATTATTTGTACACAGCGTGTAATACACACTAACGCTTTTCATACTAGCAGATAAGTTATTGTCGGTGATCTTGTCACTCTAGTGTTAAAAATCACCTTCACAAGTCAAATTATGATTTGTGTCTATTTCAGGTAAAGCGCCAAGAGGCGGATACATCAACGAATTGTTAATTGACATGTCCACTGTGCGCTAAGATGTCAGATTACCACTTGATATCATTAATCTACTATTCAAAAGAAGTGTTTCTAGCTATTACTGGATATTCGCGCATTGTCTCTTAGTGAGAAACTCTCATACTTAATGAAAATAGGTATGACTCTTTGAAAAATACTAAACACCTGAATATTCGATTGACGTCAATCATTTTAATGAGCGTCGGAATTGAATATAGATCAATATGTTGATTTGAGCTTTTGTTTATTTACATTTTCTTTGTCTTGAATGTTATCGATCGGTTTTTTGTTGCATACATTTTTTGTTATGTTACACTTGATGCAAGCTCATTGGAATGCAAGAAGACATTTATTTACATGATATTGAAGCGTGACTTTCGGGTATTTGTTTCATTTTTTGTTGAGCTGACCTAATCTGTTTAGAGGTAGACTTTTTCCAGTAGTTATTCAATGATATATTGCAAAAAGTCCAAAATTATCGCACATTCAAAGTCATGGCGCGTTTTTAACTGTCACGTTGATCGAATCCAGATCAAAAGCTGGTCTTTTCACGCGCTCGGCGTTTTTGCGGCTGCTGTCACGTGGAACCCATTGGAGATTATTGAGCGATGATAACCACAGTTTTTAATTATGATTACAGCAAGAAAAAAACGCCCAATTTGTTACTGGATGTGTCACACATCCACACATCATGTGTGTTTTTTCTTCTGCGAAAAAATGTGTAAAACCAGACATGTGTGTCGAAAATAGATACAAAACCTCATCGAAAATAAACACAAATGATCTTTTGACATTGTGCACGATAACAATCATGATTAAGCGATGCGTTGAAATGTAAATCTATGTCGTATCACAACGAAAACGAATTTTTGGTATATTGTCGACGATGGGAAGCCAAAATTTGGAGAAAAAAAACGGTCAAATTTCATGTGTTACTAATTTCGGCCATTGAAAGTTGCTTAAGCAACGGATTTTTTTTTGGAAACCTGTTCGTTTGGGCAGATTTTAACGATATGATTGGTTTGGAGCAAAAATGTTATACAGAAAAGTTGAGCGGAAAAATGCCGATGATGAATGAGCGGAAAAGGGATAGCTTTATAGTAAACTGTATAGTAAACTATAGTGAACTATATAGCAATCTCTTTTCATTTGACATTTTTCCTCTCAAATTTTCTGTATGACATTTTCGCTCCAAACCACTCATATGTTCTTTATTTTATACGAACTTTTTTTTTGTTCATTTCGCATTTTTCTCGTTCATTTTTGTTTTTTAACTGAAAAAGTGATGATCATTCCTAACCTTTGACATTTCTATTTTTACAATGTTTTGGCGGATTTTGAGTAGTTTTTGCACGCTTTGTGTGGTGTTTTCACAAATTGACTTCGATTCGTCGAAGGAGAAAAATAAAAGTTATTAAAAGATGTAAAAGAGTGAAAAGGTCGAAGCCAACGTCGAAGCCAACGCCGAAGTCAAAGCCGAATTAAGATTGAAAAATGAATGTGAATTCAGAATCAAAAACGAAAACTGGACGTGAATTCACTCGACAAAAATTTCATAATTTTTTTTGTCAAAATCAGTAGGCTTCTGTGTTCTACATACAGCTCAATAAATCTCCATTCGTTTTTAGAGAAAAAAAATTCATTTCTAGGGTTTCGCCACAAATATTTTGTATTTCGCTCCAATTTCTACCACTGAGGTTACTCCATTTCAATCAGTTCAAATTGGCAAATCACCTTGAAATGGATGCACATCATGATTTCCAATCGAAAATTAATATTCAATTTAATCGAACTCAAATGGATCTCATTATGCAATTTCATGAATAAAATTATGAAATAACCATGTTCATATTGAGCAGACATAAAATTAAAACTAAAATTTTCTGAGGGAATTTGTTTGTCGCAATGGTTCATATGCCTTACTTATTATAGTTCTAATAGTATTGCATACAGTATGCAAAATGTGTATGCAAACGCATAGAAAATGAAATGTGTATGCAAACGCACACTTTTTGCATCTCCTCGGATCTCATTATTTTATGTTAGGGCACTTAAAAACGAGCTCAAATCAATCTTAAAAACAATGGTGATAACAGAAAATAATAAGATTTGAAGAGACGCAATTTTTTTTTGAATTTCGTTGCAATGTGTAATCGAAAATCATATCCGCAGATTTGAGTGATTCACAGTGTTGAATGGATTCTGTGTAATATGAATTGCAGTTAGTCGAGCAGATCTCATGCGATCTTGCAGATTGTAAGATATTTATCTAGTTTCAATAACTATTTCGTTTGAAGACAAATAAAAAGCCATTTGGTTCGATAATAATATCGATTCATTAAAGTAAAAATTAAATTTTTATTTTATTAGATTTTATTAGATTTTTTATTTGATTTAGGTAAAAAAAACAGGTTTTT